TAATAATTATCCCTATGACATTGACAACCTAGTCAATTTCTTTTAATCATACTCAATTATTATTATGCACAATTTTTTACATTAAATAATTTTCTGTACACTAAGTTCTTTCTTAAAGTTGCACATTTTAGATTTAGCTTGTCGTACATTATAGGTGATGATGACAGAGTATTATGTTACAAATTATAAAGTTTTATTATAAAATTCTCTGGTGTACCAATTCAGCAGTTGTAAGGTGGAAGTATGTTAATCATTTTTCATAAATATTTGTCAATGAGAAAGCTGTTTTCGCGTCGATTATTTAGAGGATTAGTATGCCTCAATAATCAAGGGTTTTTGAGTAGAATGTGATAATAGATTAAACATAAATTCGCTACTTCGCATATTGAATGATAGATAATGTCACACACAACCACAAATGTAGAAAAAACGCTCTCCCACACACAAAGATGTGCCAAATAATAAAAAGAGGGTAACGATGGCAAAAATGCACGTATTGTACTTTGAGTCCATAACAACGATGGCAAAAATGCTCGTATTGTACTTTGAGTCCATAACAATGATGGCTAATTGCAAGCAATTCAGGCCTATTTAAAGACAAAGCTAAAAGAAGAGTAATCGTTTCATAGCAAACATCTAATTACTAGAAAAGTGTTATCATTGTATCACTTTAAAACGAGACTATTTTGATGAATAAGACCTTTAAGACCATATATTTTTCGTTTAAATCCATCTCTACGCTTATCTTATGGTCTTATTCATTAAGCTTTGAGATGGACTATAAAGTTAACGGAGTAATTTTTAGAATAGTGCCAATTAAATATTTTAAACCTTTAAGTGATATTTAAGGTTCTCTAGGATTTTTTCAGCGCTTCGGTACATAGAATATTAAACAAATGTTGCATTACACAAAGCACATAGAGCAAACAAATAAGTTTTTGCCCGAACTAAAGAACGATACTCGCTATTTAGATATCAACAATTTTTATAGCATTTATATATACTAGTTCCTTGACTTATCAAACGGTTTATTGTTATGTAGATCTAAACAGCTCCGGGTCAACATATTATATGTAAATACAGTCTCTTTCCTATTTTGATATCTTTCACACTTTTTCAAGCTTTTAATATGTTCCAGATAAGTTTTGTAATTTTTACAGCAAAATCAAACCTGCTTTTTTGAAATTGACTGATAACAACGCAGATTTATCTGAATTTCTCAACTATATTTATGTGAATGCCTCTGTAATAAAATCGACACCTTTATCTTTATTTGTACGAGGAGCTATTCCATATTTCTAATGAACTTTTGTTTCCAATCCCTTCTCCTGTCAAAACTCGATTTTTTGCCTTTTTTTGTGAATTTCTTAAGTTTGCAATTCATCTTTTTACGTGTTAATACAAATTCAATTATGTATTTTCTCTATTCCAGATTTTATTTCAGTTGCTCTTTTGATATCCTTGATACTTATTTTTTTGTTCTTGTCCTAAGTTAATTAATTTAGTGCTTAGTTACTTAGACACCGAATTCCGATGACATGTGCCTTCTTATATTTTTTCGTCACAAGGATGCTTATTTTATTGGCTAAGTCTGAAGTCTGTGAGCGGTGATGGTTCTCCTGTACCTTCTCCACAGACACATATGACATCCTCTGCATAATCCCATCTCTTGAATTCTTTTTACATCATATCGTGACTCTTCTTAATCTATTTAGAGCTCTGCAGATAGGGTACGGTAATTCATGTACTGGTGCCAGCTCTTTCCTAAATTCAACGGAGTCAACTTTTGAGCACTCATTACACAGCTATCTCCAATGATCCTGGACGTTGTTGTTAATTGGTTCGTGCTTTTGAGAGTGTTTGTTGGACACAAACCTTGATGCTTGGCTTGATTGGCCAAAAAATTTAAAGGATAACTATTTTTGCTCAATATCTCTCATTTTCAACTTTTCGACAAAAATTGTAAGGAATGAAATTACTGCAAATGCGATTTCTTACAATTTTTTCTTCTCTTCAGAGAATTATATCTTACACAGTTTTGATTTCTTTGATTGTTTGTGCTAGAATCAACATTTTAGCTTCTACAGCTATGTATGACAAGCCTAATGAGACACAACCTATTAACGAACCCTAGACGTTGAAGTCATCAGTAGCAGGTCATAAACAAGAACGAACTTACCTCATAAAGGCTCAGTTTATCGATAGACCGTCTTCGAAGTGAACGTATTGCAATCAAAATGGAACAGTGTTTTCTGTCTGAAGATGCTACAACCGACAATATTGTTACAGTGAAAATACCTGGTGTTTAAACTCTTTTATCAACAAGCATTATTCATTATGACGAAGAACAGAAGTGTATGCTCGAAAAAGTTGACAGCGTGGTCATGAATCAAACGTGCCACGAAAGTTATGCGAACAAGAGGCTAGCAGAATAGTCACGTAGCTCGATTATCATCATCAACAACATCAACGCCATCGCCAGTTGAATTGCAGTTATCACCAACATTCGGTTTCAAAAGCTACTGTTTCATATGCACAGAAAATGTCAATCCAGTCGCGGACAAAAAGCGTTCTATATTCGAAGTCGTAAATTCCTGGATAATTTGAAAAACCATTTAAACGAGCGTGGAGAAGACACCGCAATGTTGAATTGGTGACTCTGTATGGTATTGAAAACATCGTCAGACCTATAAAATCTAACCGGATAAGACAGGACAGGTCATGTGGTAAGATCAGAGGAAGACAGAGTGCTAAAGACAGTGTTTTTCTGAGAGACCAGACGGTAGAAGATCAGTAGACCGTCCCAGAAAAAGATGGAAGGATGATGTTGAAGCTGATTTGTCTAGGATTGGGGTACAACAATGGGAAATAGAAGTGCAATTTCGTAGAAGATGGAGGGCTATAGTGGGTGCGACGAATACTCACTCTGAGTTGTAAATCCAGCCAAGAAAAAGAAGACATAAAATAAGAAATGGAGAAGCAACAAAAATTAAAATAAATAATCCGACGCTGAAGATCAAAGAAGATCACGCGAAAACGATAGCCCAATAAAAAGTTTAAAATTTACCCAATAAAATAACATTTTGAGTTATTATCACCGATTTTGTGGGACCATGGGATACCATAATGCGACTGCATGATTCGTATAGATTTTTACAAATACCGACAATATTACTCAACTATTGCCACATAATTCAAACACCTGGTATCTGAGTTCTCATAATACACTCTCAAACAACATTTCATTGATATACTGATTATATCTGTCGAATATTCCAATACATACAAATCTCTATAGTCAACCTGCTATTAACTAGTATTACATAATTTTAGCAGTAGCAGCCAACAATTTTTCACTAAATTATATACTTCTAATAACTTCAAACAACAGGTGGGTTTGTTAAGTCAATTGCATAATTTAGTATAATAATGTATGTATGTTGGCTATTTGAAATGCATAATATTGTAAATTTGAATGGAATTCGTTTCAAAATCTGTATTTTTTTAAGAAATAGTGCAGAAAGCTGTCGTTGATAGAACAGAAATTAGCAAATGTAGGCCTGTAGTAGTTTCGTATTTAGTATGAGCAAAACAACTATCGTTATACTTAAGTTATCTTACTGCTATATAATTTTTAAAATTCCGAAACGTGCAGATCTTTTTCAATGTAGTGTGTAACTTCTCTTCAAAAATTCGGTACGTTATTTCTTGTCCAATGTAGTTTATTTCATTAAAAACGTGACTTTACATGACTTTAATTTTTGTAATTTTTTTTCACGAAATCATTTGTTGGCCGTGCCCAGAATATTGCTACCATCAAGTGTAATCCTTACCTAAATACTCTGTATTGCGAATTTTCTGTATAAAACAACCGTTAAATATGATAACTTTCGATAAACCTTTTTAAAAAGTAAATGCTTAGATGTTATCATAAAATGGGGGTTTCTCTGTTTATTGTACATATCTCATTTAAAGAAGTTACCGAAAAATGTGCCGTTAGGCGAAGTAAAGTTTCGTCTATTTCCACCTTCCAGAAAACACTAAGTAACGATGCTTTTCACTATTTAAATATTTTTCTATAAAAAGGCCTACCTACTCTATTCTATTCACTTTCCCGTTTAGTTGAAGAGGAAATAATATTTGTGTTACCATCTTTGTTAATTAAATTACCCAATCTTAATTTGGTAAGCGAAATCCATTTATTTCTCAATATGTCCTTTTTATTTTCACTTTTTACACTTTTACCTTATTCTTTATATCTCCGTCGATCTGAATCCGAGGAGAGGTGGGCCAAATATCACTAACCTGTGATTTAACAGCTGTGGCTAGAAAATAACAATCACGACCTTTGAATAACAACAACATACACTGTGACTATGTGATTGTGATTTCGGTCTTATTTTATGTTTGTAGTTCTTGATCGCTAAAACGTGATATATCACGTTCTCGTCTCAGTCGCAAAGTTGTGAAATGAGAGACGTGTAACAGGATGGCAAGGAACGAGATAGACGTAGTCGGCGCATCGGCGGTATTGTGAAGTCTGTTTCTAAGGAGAAATACAAATTAAATATCTGTTAAATCACAATCATACTTAAAAATCACAGTGAATAAAAAATCGCGATAACAGTTATACCTGTCATTGCAGAATCACAGTTTAGCCCACCACTAATCTGAATCTCATTATTACTATAGTATAGTGTTCAAAATTTGACTTGTGTAACAAACAAATTTCTTCTCAATTAAGACCCGTACTTCTCGCTACCTCAGGAAATTTCTTTGACTCCAGCCCTCATAAGGAATTTGACTGCACCGAAGGCCAACACATTCTCGGCCGATTTAATTGAAGTTTTCAGGTTAAGAAAGTTACACAATAAAACAAGAGACTTGAATATATTTAATAAGTATATATTATCTATATAAATTTCAATGGGGAGCAGTAAAAAAATCTGTAACTTTTTCTGGACGCCAGTCTCGACGTGCCTGATTAAAAGCTTTGTCTCTTATACATATATACATATCAGCATCATGGTCTCCTCGCTGCTGTTGAGATTGTCTTCTGCCCAACTGATGGCCATGTTCAGGGCTTTAACAGATTTAGCAGAAGTTTTTGAACCAGGTGGTTCATCATCGATATTCTCCTCTTCTGTTTCTTCATTTTGAATGACCCTTACAATTTCTTCTTCCATCAGCATTTTTTGGGTGTCAATTTCGGTGTCACAGCCACTTGATGCCCATTCTCGAAACTCAGATTCAGTAATTATCGTCATGTTTTCTTAAGCCAGCTGAGCGATAATAGGGCTTAAAATTATGATTTTTTCGTTGGATGAAGAGTCGTCAACAGCCACTAAGTTTAGGCTCAATTTTTTTCAAAAAAGTTGAATCAAACGTTGTGAAATATGTGACCAACAATTAAATATGTGGCCAAATTAAAAAAACGTCCTTGAGATTAACTTTCTTTAAAGCTACTACCAGATCCGTTCCACTTTGCTCGTCAGCAAGAATGTTGGAGAGTAAAGCTTTTCGCACTTTTGTGTTCTGGATGACATTCTGGTCCATTGGTTGAATCATAGCTGTCGTGTTGGGTGGTAAGAATATGGCAAAAATTTTACCATCTGCGCTACGAAGTTCATCAGCGGATGGATGACCAGGGCAGTTATCCACCAGCAACACTGCCTCCTGAGGAAGGTTCACACGTGCTAGATGACGACGAACATCATGGACGAATTCAATTTTGAACCAATCCAAGAACAAATCTCTTGTCACCCATGCACTTTTTTGGCCTCGATTTGAATGCATGAGGCTTTTTAGCTGTCCCCACAACAAGCAAACGAAGTTTGTGAGTCCCTGAAGTATTGGAACAAGTCATAAAGGTGATTCTTTCTTTTATAATTTTTTGACCAGGAGCGTTCTTTTCTTGAGATGACACCAATATGTGGTCATGTAGTAACCTGCGCCAAAATAACCCACTTTTATCTGCAATGTAAATTTGCTCAGTTGTCAAAATGTTTTTAATCACAAGTTCTTCAAATGCAGTTCAGAACGGTTCGATGCGATCGGCATTACTCGAAAGTTCCTCACCAGTGATTTTGAGATGTCAAATTCCATGACGTCGTTTGAGAATTTTGGTCTTTTGTTCGATAGTCAAAGTTACGTGTTTACGTGAAGCTATCGTGATACGAATCCACTAACAGAACTAAATAATATGTAAGTGGATAATGAAAGTAAAAACCGATGTTCATGTCGATTCAATCGTGGGGAGGCAGGAAGAGTCGCGCGATCCCATCCGGACTACCGCGTCGTTCGGACGACCTTATTTTCGGATAATCGCGACCGTACTGTATTTTAGATCACTTATAATTTTTGTGCAGTTTCTAGCTTAATGTTTAAACCAAGATGGATTAACTAGATCCTAAATTTTTTGTTCTTTATGCGTATTTTTTTGTTGCGTATTTTTTATTTTTTCAGCAGTTAATCCAATGAAAAGAGGACTTAGTATAGTTAATTAAAGGGTTTAGTAACACAAATCTACAAGGAAAAGTTAATTTTCTGTAATCGGCTGTATACCATATATCACAAAAAAAAAATAGTGAAAATCCCTTATAAAATCTATATTTATTTAAAAATCTTTCGGCCGAAATCACAGAACATTTTAGGAATAAATATTCCATCCTTAGTGCTGCTACAAAAGTTTTCAAGTTGAAAGCCATTAAACTTATTGGTGAAAACCCTTTAAATGTTATTAAATTAATATTCAAGTACACGATTGCTGCCAATTTTATAAGATGTTTAAAATTTAAGAAGATTCATTTGATGGCAACGTAAAGTCCCACGTGAGTTACTGATCCTGAGACGTGTTCTCTAATTGGACCTCGGGTAGCAACTTTATTACTACTAGTTGCTACCCGTTGCAGATTTTCCTACATTTCTCATCCCGAAAATTTTGAATAATGGTAAGCCGAAGCCCATACCGGTTTCTTAATAATGTACTACTACTACTAAGGATTTCCACAGTTTTCACTGTCTTCCTTCACTTAACCGTTTTCTCCAATTTTCCCTGTCGTTCCAGTCTCCATCTCGCAGGGTTCTTTTCACCATAGCCTCGTCGATTTCGTCTCTGAATGACCTTCCGGGTCTTTTTCTCTTTCTTCTTCCGATCGGATCCATTCTGTGATTTTGTTTATCCAGCGTCCTCTGTCCGCTCTTCTGACGTGGCCGTACCAGGATAGTCTCTTCTCTTCTATATAGTCGATTATGTCTGATTGCACTCCCATTCTCCGCTTAATCTCTGCGTTTTCAATTCTGTCTTTTTGTAAGTCTACAGCTTCTCCTCAGGAACTCTATTTCTACTGCTCTTATTCTATCTCTATTTCTCTTGTTTATTGTCCAGTTTTCGGACCCATATGTCAGGATACTTCTTGTCAGGGTATTATATATTCTCTTTTTTGTCTTTATCGTAATGTTCTTATCCCACAGCACTGAATTTAGTTGTCTTATACAGTTTCTTGTTTGTCTTAGTCTGTTGTCTATATCTTCTTCTGTTGTTCCCTGGTTCGATATTATGGTTCCTAAATACTTGAATTTATCTGTTCCATTTACTTGTCCTCCCTCGTCTATCTCTAGGTTTCTCATATCCTTGTTTTCTGTTGTTAAGTATTCGATTTTCTCTAAGTTTATTTCCATTCCGTTGTTTTTATATTCAACTTCTAGTTTTCTGAACATAAAGCTGAGATCTTCATCTTGTGCGATGACTACTTGATCGTCGGCAAAACTTAAGGTGTATAGGTATTCGTCTCTTACTGGTATGACCATTCCTTCGCACTTTCTCCTCCATGGTTTGAGTGTCTTTTCCAAGAATATTTTAAACAGAGTAGGCGACGTAGCACAGTCTTGTAGAAGTCCTTTTGTCGTCTTAAATGGATTGTAGGCTTTATTTCCACATTTAATAGCTACTTTGTTTTCTTTGTACAGTGCTTTAACTGCTTTTATTAGTGTTTGTCGGATTCCGAGATCATTCATTGCTTCCCATAATTTGACTCTAGGTATTGAGTCGTATGCGTTCTTTAGATCAACAAACGCCAGATGGACCGGTCTACCTTTTGCCATTTTCTTCTCTATCAGTTGTTCTAATGTGTACGTATGATCTAGGCATGATTGTCCTACTGTGAACCCTGCTTGGTCTTCTCCAATTTTTCCTATTATTTCAGTTTCTAGTTTTTCCTTGATAATTTTCCCGTAAAGTCTACCTACCGACGATATTATACTAATCCCTCTGTAGTTTTTACATTTTTTCCTGTTTCCTTTCTTATGTATGGATGTGATGTATGCTTGTGTCCATTCCGCAGGTATTTCCTCTCCATTTAGTCCTCTTTCGAACATTTTGTGTAGCATGCGGAATAACTTTTCCGTTCCGTTTTTAATTAGTTCGTTTGGTATCCCTCCGGGTCCTTTGGCTTTTTTGTTTTTTTTTTGTTCTTTTTTTGTTGTTAATAATGTCCTATAGCTATTTTCTGGTAGCCTTTTAATAGTATTTACTATTTTTAATGGGAATTAAAATCACAATTTTATTTTAAGATACGTTTATTTTGATGTTTTGATTCCACTTTCGTTCTAAAAATAAAAATTTTAATTTTTCAATTGAAAAAAGTCAGATAAAAAGTAGAATTATTACATGTATAAAAACGAAGTACCTTATTTGGCATATTTATCATCATCCGATATTTCCGCGATGTTCCAAACCCAAAAAAGAAAACCTTTTTATTTTAGATTTTGTACTGTACTAGAAAGAAAAGATGCATTTGTATTTCATAAATAGTTGTTTACCTTATTGTTGATTTTAAATTGTACAAATAATATGAATATACTCGTATGTGTATTGTTTCTCTAACAACAATTCTTGCTATTAACTGGTGAAGTAGTTTTTATTTTTCTGTTAAACAATAACAATGGTTTCGCAACCATTATTATTAATCTAATTTATTTTACAAACGTTTAAGTAGTAAACAAATAATTAGTACTTTTGAACTGAAGGTAACTATTTGAATTGACAAATACTAGAGATGAGAAAACGGTTCAGTTGGTTCAGTTCCAACTCAGATTCATATTTCCGTCAAATCCATTCTATGTTTTTGAAATTTGGAATTTGAATAATTGGCAAAAATTTGGCCGTATATATTAAACATATCAAGATTGCTTTTGATATTCATCATCCAGCCTCAAGAGTCCACTGCTGAACATAGGCCTCTTCCTCATGTTTCCAACCTCGTCTATCTTGCGCCGCTCTTATCCAGTTTTTATTGAGTCTTCTTAATAGACAGTCCATCTTGTAGGTGGTCGACCGACGCTTCTCTTGTCTTCCCTTGGCCTCCATTCCAATAACCTCTTTGTCCATCGCCCATCTGTCATTCTGGCTATGTGTCCTGCCCATCTCCATTTTAGTCTGGCTATCTTCTCGATGATGTCAGTCACTCCGGTTCTTCTCCTGATGTCTTCGTTTGTTATTCTGTCTCGGAGAGTTATTCCTAACATGGACCGCTCCATTCTTCTCTGCGTGACTCTCAGTTTGGTAGCTGCTGCTTTTGTTAAGGTAAGTGTTTCTGCTCCGTACGTCAAGACTGGGAGGACGCACTGATCAAATACCTTTCTCTTTAGGCATGTGGGCAGCTCACTTTTAAAAGTTTCTCTCAGTTTTCCAAATGCTGCCCACCCAAGGCCGACTCTTCTCTTCAGTTCATGAGTCTGGTTATCTCTGCCAATCATAATTTCATGTCCCAGGTATTTATATCTATCTACGAGTTCTATTTCTTTCCCACCAATACTGATGTTCTGGTTGGGTACCAAATTGGTCATGATTTTTGTTTTCGAGATATTTATATTTAAACCTACCTTTTCTGTAGCCACAACGAGTTCCTGTACCATCTCTCTTGCCATACCTAGATCTTCAGCTATTATAAGTATATCATCGGCGAAACGTAAGTTGTTTAGATATTCTTCATCTATTTTTATTCCCTTTGTTATCCAATCCAAATTCTTAAAAGCATGTTCTAGAACATGCTTTTGATATTATTAGATCTAATTCTCTGATACGTTGTGCTATGATTTAATCGCCTAAGGTTACCGCTAGCCTCATCCAAAGCTTCTTCATTCCGGGGTTTCAACGTTTTTTAATATAACTAAAACAGAGTAATTTTCAATTTTTGTGGGGAATAAGCTACAATTTTACTTTAAAATAACTTTATTTGACGTTTCAGTTTCCACTTCGGAAATCATT